GCCAACCCAACAGACACTTTTGGAGATACCTGTAGTGCACCTTTATAGCCACACAGTTACGTTGTGACGTCCTACGGTATCCGGGAGTTACGCAATCTCATGGTCTAAGGAAATGATACTTGACATTAGAAAAGCTTTAGAAAATGAACTACACAATCTTGTGATATGCTTAGGATTGGGTCTTGTCCATCACATCATTTTCCTAATGATGTGATCCTGTTATCAATGACATCCAATGGCCATAGTCAGGAAACCATGACCATATGTTGATCAACGAGCTAGTCAACTAGAGGCTCACTAGGTACATGTTGTGGTCTATGTATTCACACATGTATTACGGTTTCCAGTCAATACAATTATAGCATGAACAATAGAAAATTATCATGAACAAGGAAATATAATAATAACCATTTTATTATTGCCTCTAGGGCATATTTCCAACACAAACATCAATGAAAAATTCAAAAAAAATTATGAATATGAACCTTATATAGAAACATGAACTAGGGTTCATCTCCAACCTCATACATCATATTACTCCAAACTAAACAAACCTAACAACAACAAAAAATTAAAATTTACTAGATGAAATAGGGTTCATCTTGTGCCAAATAATGCATCGAATCAAAAGCTTTTTAACTAAAACGAATTGGAGGGATTGATAGAGCTTACTTCTCTCGTTTCAGAGCCATCACAAAAACGGTGGAGAAACGAAGGAGATCGGAGGAGGGTAGTGGAGGGGATGAGAGAGGGAACCCCTCTTTGTTCTTGTGGTCCTGCAGCGGAGAAGATGGGGGTTGGGTTTGTGGGTGGACCCCGCGACCCGGTCCCCGCGGGTTTATAACTGCTCAGCACCTACTGTCGGGGTCTCTGGCGGTAGAGTTGTACATCCTACCTCCAGGGTCCATGGCGGTAGGGTGGGCGACAGGAGACAATTGTCGTTTACTAGAGCTGGCATGGATGAGTGGGCTACCGCCAAAGCGATGGGTGGTAGCATGTACAGCCCTACCGCCAGCATCCCCGGCGGTAGGAAAAAGGGTCAAATCTCAAAATATTTTCAAACCAAAATGGGCCGCGGGTGGGAGTTAAGCATTTGCGGTTACTGCGTTATATAGTAAGCAGGACGAGATAAAAAGATATCTTCCCTGCGTCCCAAACACGTGGGATGAAGAGAACCATCACATCATACATGATAATGATACGCACAAAATGTACTATTACCCAGGAGGAAAATTGCTGGCTTGACTTTGTTCTAACATGTCATCGCCTTTAACTTTGCAAGACATACGTATAAACCTGGCAAGCGGTTTTTATGTGCTCAATGGAATAGAGGTAACAAAGATAAATCAGCAATAATCATGGGCCACATAATGCAAGTTCTGTAATCATGGCATTTAAAGAATCGTGTTTATGTACTATCATGGTATGACATGCTAGATGTTCTAGAGTTTAGTTCTTATAATAACTGATGCAAGGATCAACTCTTTTCTTCTAAAAATAATCTTGAACTTACAAGCATTTAGACTATGTAAAATCTGCAGACTATATATTTCTCAGTCTGGTGTGTACACGCTGGCAGTGGGCACATGAATAAAAATAATTAGGAAAGATGTAGGAGAAGTGAAAGATGCATTGGTGGAACTCCAGCTCAACTGTCAAAAGTTGTGTCTTAGGTTTCATATCTGAGCTTGCAGTTTATCCTTTCCTATACACATGATTCAAGATTATCAGGGGTTGATAAGACAGTCTTATCTTAAGCCTTGCATATAGTTTAGGGATGACAATAAAAGTATGTCTACAATGAGTTATGTCTTAGTCTTAATTTTAATAACTAGCTATTTCTAAAAACATGGTGAGGCATATTGTGCTAAGAGGTCATCTCTTAAATAAGAGAAGACAAATATTTTCTTATGATTCTCTCTCCTCCACCTCCACGTTTATCCTACGTGGCACTCCTAAGATAGCACCAATGTACATGCCCTCATAAGACTCTAGAACGCCCATGTATATATTTGGAGAATGTGTTCATGACCACATTCCATAGTTCTAGGGGCGGCTTCAATTTTCTTTAACATTCTAAAAAAATTGCCCCGTTGTTGCATCATCGACTCACTAGAAGACTCCAAAATATGATCTCTTCCAAGTGCTCCGAGGTTACTTTAAGCGAAGTATAAACAAGATATATTTAACGGTGAAGCTCAGTTTGCATGTGCTAAATGTTGTTGTATTGACTTATTTTACAATATACTATAGACAAATAGGCAATAAAAAGGTGGTTAAGCAAATTGTAAACTAGATTTAAAATTAGTAAGAAAAGTTGAATCCAACTTTATTCATGTGCATGCACCTGGTAGAGTTCATATATACGATAGACGTTATATAAAGGGAATGTTATCTATGATAAAACTTCTACATATTATTATAGTATCTGATGTTTATGCATGTCACACATGTATCTACTAAATTATTATTTTGATAGATTAACTACAACACCGAAAATTATAATTGTTTGAAATAAATAACAAAGCATAGTTAAGCAATTATCATTTTTCATACTTTCAGTACTATAGTACCTTTAATGGTAAAAGTTTCGGTTGTATATATTGGATTTATCAATGTTGTGGTGTATGAACTACAACAAGAGAAAAACTGTTAAGATAATTTAATATGAAAAATATGGTTGAAAATAATATTTACAATTTAGAGACAAAATTAGTCATAGGAGGTAAAAAAGTTTAGTATCAAATAAAAGGGCACTTAATTTGCATGGCTAACTATTATTTACTATTTTTTTATCATTTTTGTACATTTAAACTATATTTGGTTCAATAAGATCCCAATCCAAAATTCAAAAATATAATACAAAAATGACCTTTAATAAAGTTTATTTAATAAGACTCAAAACGATGGTGTCGAAACTATCTGATCGGGAAAATAGTATTTTCATCTTTAGACCAATAATAAAAAACAATGTTTTACTCTGTCCTCCAAAGGAATTTAATGGTCGTCGAATGACATGTTGTGTCGCTCATAATTTAGTTAGGAATGTTGTATTTATAATATGTATAAGATCGGACTATAAGGGATGTGTTGAACATGGATTTGCCCCAGAAATCTGAATAAATAACAATCAATTTCAACTCAGAAAAAAATATCATTTAAGATTATTTGATTAAAAATGTAAATGAAATTATGTTTATAATTTAGACGATATCACCATAATTTCTTACACTAACTGAGACTTCGGAATGATATAGAGCTTCTAAAGGCCATGTGCATACATCGCATCATGGTATGTTTCGATGTCGGGGAGGAGAAAAAATATGTATGTGGTCCATTATGTTGAAGTTGTTGCTGACGAGCACCGTACATAATGTAATGGATGATGGAGCGAGAAATACTGGACGAGTCGGTGGTGACGGAGGGCACCGTCGATGACAGGGAGGAGAAAAACTATATATGTGATCCATTATGTTGAAGTTGTTGCCAGCGAGCACGGTAAACAATTTTGTGGATGATGAAGGCAAGAAATGTCGGTGGTGATGCTGGAGAGACGTTGGTGCCCTTTAGGTCCGTATCAGGAGGCAGGAAGCGGTCGAGTGTGTGGATGAGCTGACGGAGGAGGCGCACCAAGAAGCAGTCGTGTTGGCCGTGTGGAGCCAATCCATCTTCCGATAGCGGATGAAGTGGAGACACACATCAGAACCAAAGGATCCATGGCAATTTGGTTGAAATGTGCGGTCGAATTGTAGAAGGTCATTTGTCCGATAACGGATAAAGTGGAGACACAAAGAGGCACCAAAGGGTCTATGGCGATTTAGAATGGGGGCTTGAATTAGAGAATTTGTACGGAAATGGTGATTTGGGGAGGAGGCAATTACGACACCAATAATTTCATTGAGATTAAAGCACCACGGACATGGAGTATGTGATCCCGGGCTCCATTGATCTCGGATGAACTGTAAAATCTGAAAAATAGTAAAAAAATCAAAAAGTCTGAAATTTTTTGACAACAAACTTTGATGTTTTTTCTACATGCGTGCAAAATTTTATGACGAAATTACATTTGTGGAGGTGTGGGCAAAAAAAAACAAATTAATGTTCCGAAAAAGTGTTTTTGGAAGCACTTTGGAACATCAATTTTGTTTTTTTTTACCCACACCTCCACAAATGTAATTTCGTCATGAAATTTTGCATGCATGTAGAAAAAACACCAAAGTTTGTTGTCAAAAAAATCAGATCTTTTTGAATTGTTTTACTATTTTTTTAGATTTTACTGTTCTTCCAGGATCACATGAGCTCGGGATCACATCAGCACTTTCAAAGCACCACGCAATACACAAAGATATCATTCACGTGACTTTTTTTCTCTTTTGGCTACTCGTTCATCTGATTTCTATAAATATGCTTATGGTTTGTGATGAACGTATATATTGTCTGATTGTGTTGGACTCTATGGTACACATCTATATTGTCTAATTTTGTTGGACTCTATGGTACACATATATTGTCTGATTGTGTTGGACTATATGGTATTCCATTTTTTTTCCCTAACTGCACGAGTAATAGTTTCTTAGTTGATACTCCCCCTCCTATCCAAAATAATTGTCTTGGTCTTAATAGATTTCGATTTCCATCATGGTTTACTTAATATGAACTATGGAAATTCCCCAACAACTATGATTGCGGCAAGTATTTCCATCGATTGCTTAATAACTCAAAGGGGCAGGCCAAATAATTTTGATTATCTTTGATCTTTGAATGTGAAATACACATGCATGAAAATACATTATGATGATTCCAAATATTTTACACTGCTGTAACTACTATACACTATATATTGAGACAATGACGGGCAAGCCGGACTATATTTTTAAGTGCCCTCAAATGGGGAATAGGAGCCGAAAAAGTATAACAAGAGACAAGAATCTCCCCTCTGCCCCGAACACATGAAATGAACATAGCTATCACAACAAAACATAGGTTACACACAAATGGCACTATACTCCAGGTGGAAAATTGCTGACTTGACCTTGTTCCAACCTGTCCTCGCCGTTCACTTTGTACGACATCCGGATACGCATTGCAAGTGGTTTCTGTGTCAAAATCATAACAGAGGCGACAAAGAGAAATCAACCATCGGGGCAGGGCAGAAACAGTAAGTCAAAAACATTGAAGAGAAACCAAATACTATCATGGAATTCCAAGAACCGTGTTCATGTATCAAAAGGTTATTTATGCAGGTGCTACCATGGTATGACACGCAATCTAGAGTCTAGTCTCTGATAACTTATGGAATAGTCGACTCTCTTCTTATAAAAGGACTATTGAACTCTACAGACAATTCACTTCTCAGCCAGCTATGTACATGCTGTCATGCTGGTAACTGGCACATAAATGGAAATGAAGCACAATGCATTATAGGATAGTCTCAGCTGTAAACGGAGCGTAAATTCCCAATGTGGAATGCAATTCAATCAAGTCAGGAAGATGAACCCAAAGTGAAGGATGCAAGTCAAACCTGCCCATGCTGATTATTCGTGACACTGAAACCTTGTGTGACTGAACCCTTTCCATTAGCTGGAACAATGTTACCACTAGCTGGATCAAGTCGCAATTGAATGAACTGCAGTATCGTTTTGGAAAGCATAAGGAACATTCCATCAATATCAGAAAATATTTTAGCCTTTAGTCAATAAAACAAACAAAGAAACAAGAATGCACCACAATTTTAGGCTATATTTCCTTGACCAAGGGAACATGATGTTACCTTTGGAACAGCTGCCTGAAAAACGAAATCTGTATAATTGCTAGATGTCAAATTTGTAAAAGTGGCATGGATGATAGTCTCTTGCGGCTTTCCAGGCTGTTTTCTGATATCAAAGGTGATCTTCAAAGTTGCACTCTGGAAAGCCGTTATTGACGGACGAGTATCTTCAAGTCCTGCTCAAATAGAATTTTTAGAAACATTGACATATCATGGTCAGCTCTTCCTTGCAAAACTCTAAAACTAAACTTACCAGAAACGGACGTACTTGGTGACAAACCATCGAGCAGATCCACAGCTTGAGGTGCAGCAATAGTGGATTTCGTTCCTGAGGCACAAGTGTTACATTTTGGCACTGGCGATAAAAAGATAGAGGAAGCAACTAGTACTGTTAGCATCAACCAAACTAACCAGAAATAGATGCACTTGATGACAAACTGCCGAGTAGATCCATAGGTTCGGGTACAAGAGAACCAACTTGAGGTGCAGCAGAAACAGGTTTTTTCTCTGTTATACAGAAGTGTTAGACAGATCAGTAATGGCTACAAAAATAGAAAATAAGGTCATTGTTACGATTAGAGTTACTTTTACCTTGGGCTGGAGATGGCAGACCATTCTGTGATAGAGACGATCCCATGGATAGAAGATCCATTAGAATATCTGTGCTTGCAGATGAAGGTGCTCCTGAACAAAACGAAAGGAACTTAGTATGTCTATGGTGAGGATATGAAGTACCATCTAGCTCCATTTACGTCAAGTGAAGCAAAGTAACAAGGCACGTCCATGAGAACAATAATGGAAATGCAAAACAAAATACCTGCAGTTGATAGATTTGTCCCACCAATACCCAAAAGGTCTTGTAGAAAATCACTAGGTGCTGTAGTAGCAGAAGCAGCGGAAGTGGCTGGTGCATCGTCAGAACTTAAATCCAGCAAATCAACTAATGGAGCTACAGCAGGTTTTGCTACACCATTAGGAAGCTTAAGGCCTCCAGGAGTGACTGCTGCAGGCTTATATGCTGGAATAGTTGCTTGTGTGGCACTAGCCCTCTTCACAAGATAAGTAGCTTCATCCAGTACAGGCATGCGTTCAAGCAAAGATGACCTGCACATAACACATTTCTCTAAGGTTAATACCATTCATAAGTACCAGGATAAAAGAGAGTTTATGCAGTAATATTTAGAAGTCCTGTAACCCACCTGATAGACTGATGTCTTTGTATAATGGAACCGAATTCAATTGATCTTTGCTGTAGTTCAAGCACCATATTTTCTTTATTCTGGGCAACTATTTGTTTTATCCTCCTGTTAAAAAGTTAAATCATACGATTTAACATAACAGTAATATAATGTAAGAAGCAGTTGGTAGTAGTTAACGATATTTACATTAACATGCTAAAGCATTTCCAGGTTACAACCTGGTACCACGGCAAGCATCTACAAGATGTGAATTTGTACAGAAGGTAAGTTTGCAGAGATGCCAAAAAGATGAGAAAATTATAAACAAATACACAATGGCAGTAGTATGTACAAAAAGATGAGAAAATCATACACAAATACACCATATGACTACCATAGTGTAGACATCAATACAGCATTACATAGGTTTGCAGTATTCAGAAATTACTGGAAATATTATGGATACAGGAGAACCAAAAGAACAAATTCAAATGGTTCCTTATTAAAAAACATTGCAGCTTTGAGCTAGTATTTTTTTTTAGAAGTTATGCAACTACAGTACTAGGTCAAGTTGAAAGATATCTTACTCCGACATAGATGGAAACCGTGAGGAGAGCTTCAAAAGAGCAACTAGACACATGGACCTAGTTGTCACATCTGGAGAGTAACGGTTAAGACCTAGCTCAACAGCATCTACAGCATCAGATTCTGTTACCTGCACAGGTTGATGTGCTTGGCATGATGTCTGACAACAATACCATAGAAAAATAATACTCCCTCCGTTCCTAAATATAAGGTGTATTAGTTTTTCAAAAAGTCAACTGTTGTCTATGTTTGACCAACTTTACACCAAAATATATAAAGATTTATAATACTAAATATATAAAATGTAAAAATATAGTTCATGATGAATCTAGTAATAATGATTTGGTATTCTAGATATTGATATTTTTGTCTATAAACTTGGTCAAACTTAGAGAAGTTTGACTTTTTGAAAAAATAATACACCTTATATTGAGGAACAGAGGGAGTACTACCAAATGGAATATTAGCCTTGCAAAAGTTCATGGGACTGAGAGCCCACGACCAGAACACTTCACCATTGGATGCTGACTAAGCATTATTAGCACAACTGGCCTTTGAGCTCACTAATCAAGCTTTGTGACCGAAACAAACCATTGTAAAGTTCCGTACATAGTTGCATCCACCTCACAAGCTGTTTTTACCCACAATGCAATTTACTCATCCTAATAAGATTCTCTTGAACTAAACACCAAATGATTAAATGAATGTTTTGCCGAGAAATACTACCAGCAATTATTGAGAGATAGTTCATGAAAGCAGAAAGGAGAATGAAAACAATAATGGGGGATGAAAACATTGTGACATATATGCGCCAGCTATTGAAGTAGGTGAAACTTAAAATTGAGCTGGAAGCTGTCTAGGTAGTTCAGAACATCAAGAATAGCATGGCCTACAAGAATGTGCACTCACTGTGATTGGTGCCTCAGCTTCAAGCATGCCAACATTGTTCACTAGCATTTCACCATATTCACCAATGCACCAAACAGCTACTCTCAGTAAACTTCCCTGCAGTGTAAATATGTAATGTCAACAAGATTACACGTCAGATAGACTGAGATATTAAAATAGATGGAATGGAATGGCATACATTATAAAGAATAAAAACTAAATCCATACCTGTTCACTGTATGCTTGTAAAGCCGTGTATAATGATCTCACTGAGTATCCTTGAAGTTCAGACGCATTGCTTATTACAACAATAAGGGCATGCCACACATCATCTTTCACATGATTTCCAGCCTGTTAATCAATAAAAGTGCAACATGAATTCGAATTTATTTTTATCTATTGGTCATTGAGGAACATTTAACCTGCAGAATTGGAGGTATGTGTTGTTCCATTTGTAGGTGCAAGCATTCATATGCATTCAATAGTATCAACATGAATACATACATTTCCAACAGCCATTATTAGACATTTTATTTCCCAGATGGCTAGACTTTTCTTAGATTTCTAATGATCGTGAACAAGAACAACACACGATTGATGATTCTAGTAAAATCTTTGTCGGCCAACTATTTCAAACTACTTAACCAACAGTTTCACAATCTAGGCCGCCAAATCATAATCAAACCACTTAACTAACAGGTACCACCAGTAGCCTGCAAAATCAAATTCTCTCTGCGACCTTGATATTCTCATGCAGTATTGTCAATGGTGGTCAATTATACTGATAGTCTGTGATACCCTCACTTGCTAGTCCCGGTGTGTACTATGTGCACAGACTTCTCCATAAAACAGATCGAGAAAGCAACAATGATAGCTAAGTCTTCCTACTAGCTCCAACAACATAGTAACAAAGAAGCTGAATTGCTAATACCAATATGTTCTGGACTGCAAACCTTTCAGATACAAGATAGATCCACTTTTATTTTGGTACTTACCAGGGATAAAACCTTGAACATCTGATCAAGA